GTATTATATTACCTAATTCTTTTATTTTCCACAGTTATTCTTTATACTTTGCCACCCATTATTCACTCTTGTTTTTGTTGGTCTTATCTTCTCTATTCATTATTGTTTTGGGCCAATATTTTCGATTCTGCAAACCCTTTACAGATCATCGTTCATGGTAAATCAATTTTAATGGATTTTATGGGTTTAGGCAAACCGTGAATTTGAAAGTTTGACAAGACACAAACGTTTTTCTTTGATAGGAGCAAATGATGAAACCACGAAATTATAATTACTGTAAATTCGGAAATTATTGCGAGATTTTTATTAATGCGAATACCTCAACTTGGTTGTTATCGCAATAATAAGAACTCGCATTCTAATATCTGATACATATATATATCTGTTTGCAGATTTTCCTGAAATCGCAATAATTAATTTCCCATTTTTCTCTATTCTTCAAAAATCGCAGTGATGAATGCACGCAGAGTACCTAGCTCGAAATATAACGTGTTTTCTCCAAACACAAAATCTACACCAACAAAAATAAATGCATCCACAGTATCTTTTCAGTAATATATTCAATATTGGGTACATCGGTGGACGAGTGGTCTATGTAGTTTCAACTACTGTATCGCTAGTCTGTTAAGACAGAAGATGTGAGTTCGAACTCCGCACGTGGCTGGTGTGCTCGACTCTAATCTTAATTGACTAAGATTGTCAGTTTTCCTGACGCAGGTAAGTGGTTCTCTCCCGCTTCCTCCACCAATAAAAACTGGCCGTCATGAAATAGCCAATAGTGCTGAAAGTGGCGATTAACATCAATCATATTATAAAAATAAATCTTTGGCTGTTACTTCGCCCTTGTGTGCTGAGGTGGTATAAAGTCAGCATCAATCAAGCAAACACTAACTCTTAATTGTTAGAATACATAACATGGGAGTGCAAAAATTTCCTACAACACTATGTGGTTATGACATAAACTGGTTTAAATAGAAATCCATAAGTACATGAGACAGCAAACCCATAGACAAACCAAGAGGCTCATGAGAGCCTGATATCGCTCACCTGTAATTTCAGTTTCAGGTATTTGACTTATTCGTGGATCTTACTTTGCTGAACAATTTTGTCATTTACACTTTCTCTCTTTCTTTAATAATATTAAAGATAATACATAACCCAAAACTGTAAAATTTCCTAAAAATTAACTATTTCTGGACAGTAACCCAACAATAAGTTGTCCTGTTGGTCTGAAGATTACTTGACAGGTAGATCTAATTCTGTTTAACACTTTCACCTATGTCAGTTTTGTTCTTACTGCTTTAGGTTTTGAGATGAAAGCCAACAACTTCATTTGACCCCTATGTTCTATTTTTAGAAACTGCCGCCATGTTTTTGAATGGATCAAATCCCCGAATACAATGTATAAACTAGATACCATTAGGAATATTCTTTAAATTTTTTAAAGTATTTGGCCAAGTAGTTTCAGAGAAGTTTTTGAAAAAGTAATTAGACTTTCACAAAAAATGTAAAAAAAAACCGTTTTAAGGGCAAAACCTCCTTAAGGGGTGACTTGACTATTTTGATCATGTTGACTTATTTGTAGATCTTACTTAGCTGAACATTTATTGCCATTTATACTTTCTTTCTATCTATTATAATATTAAAGAAAATAACCAAAAACAGTAAAATTTAATAAAAATAAACTATTTCCAACAGTAACCTACCAATGGGTTGTCGAACTTGTCTGAAAATTTCATAATAAATAGATCATGACCCATTCATCACTTTAACTCCCTTTCACTTTTACTCTAACTGGTGTAGTTTTTGAGATATAAGCCAAAAACTGCTTTTGTCCCCTATGTTCTATTTTTAGCCATGGCGGCCATGTTTGTTGATGGATAAAAACTTCGGATACAAATTATGAACTAGATACCGTAAGAAACATTCAGTCTAAGTTTGGAAATATTTGGCTTAGTAGTTTCAGAGAAGAAGATTTTTGAAAAAGTAATAGACTTGCACGAAAAAATGTAAAAAATAAACGTTTCAAGGTCACTAACTACTTAAGGAATCAATTGACTATTTTGATCCTACTTTGCTGAAACGTTTTGCCATTTACACTTTCTCTCTATCTATTATAATATTAAAGATAATAACCTAAAACAGTAAAATGTCATAAAAATAAACTATTTCGGACAGTTACCCTACAATGGGTGGTCAAATTGGTCTGAAAATTTCACAGCAGATAGAACTCATATACTTTTGCTTTAACTGCTATAGTTTTTGAGATAAAAGCCAAAAACTGCATTTGACCCCTATGTTCTATTTTTAGCCACGGCGGCTATGTTGGTTAATGGATCAAAACTTCGGACACAATTTATAAACCAGTTACCCTAAGGAACATTTAGTTAAAGTTTAGAAGTATTAGGCTCATTAGTTACAGAGGAGAAATTTTTTTAATGTTAGCAAACATGATGAACAAATTGTGTAAAATTGTCTTCAAAGGGCAATAACTCCTTAAGGAGTCAATTGACAATTTCGGTCATACTAACGTTTTTGTAGATCTGACTTTGCTGAACATTTTTGCTGTTTACAGTTTATCTTTATCTTCAATAATATTCAAGATAATAACCAAAAACTGCAAAATTTCCTTTAATTTACCAATTTAGTGGCAGCAACCCAAAAATGGGTTGTTGGATTCGTCTGAAAATTTCAGGGCTGATAGATTTTTACTCCGTGTCAGATTGCTCTAAATGCTTTAGTTTTTGAGATATAAGCCAAAAACTGCATTTGACCCCCATGTTCTATTTTTAGCCATGGCGGCCATGTTTGTTGATGGATCAATACTTCGGATACAATTTACATTCAGTTAAAGTTTGAAGGTATTTGGTCCAGTAGTTTCAGAGGATAAGATTCTTGAAATAGATTACGACGACAACAGATGACGGCCCGGTGAGCTAAAGAGACAGCTGGAAGTCAACATACAATTTTCAACAGTAAACCAGGGTTGGTGCAATATACTAGTACCAAGCTGTAGATCGCCTTGAGTCGAAAAGTTTTGAATAACATAAACTTGACTATTAAAGATCTGCAATTAACACATAATTACCTTAGTGATAAACATTATCTGTTGACATAAAGGTATGTCTTGGCTATATATAATTTTGATGATGTAATGCAAATGTTGAAATATAAATGGCAATGCTTAAACATGTAAACTATGTAAAATATTAAGTCAAGAACCATGACTTTAGGTGCAGGGCCAAATAACCTCTGTGTAAATGAGAAATGCTTATTATGATACAACTACATACCAAATAACATTAACTTATCATAAGTTGACCTAAAAAAACATGTTAACATGTGAACTATGCAAAAGTTTTAAAGTCAGTGAACCATGACTGAGGAGATTGGCCAAAATAATCTCCACGCAAATGAGATATGTCAAGTCTAATTCAACTGCATACCAAATATAATAGACCCACCACTAGTGCTTCCCATTAAATGACAAACTTAAACATTTTAACTGAGCAAAAGTTTCAGTGTCAATATACCATGACTGGGGGTAAATTATCTCCACAGAAACAATGAGATATGCCAATGCTAATACAACTGCATACCAAATTTCGTTGATCTATCACAAGTGTTTCCCCTAAAACTGACCTAATCACAAACTATAAATACATTGATGTTGCCTTCGCCAATTACAGCATGCTTAAATTTCCCTTTTTGGATTTGTTCGAGGTGAGACAAGGAACTCTTTAGATAGTATTCAAAACAACAGTTAATAGATTCCTCATCGGCGTGTTGAGGGATTAATCTTTTTTCCAGAATGTAGGACAAAGAAATAATTTACCAGTGGCTGGTGTTAGTGCACTTGACATAAATCTTTAAATTTGAGTAGGAAGAAGTCTTTGATACTTCTTATCTTGTGTACAGATGCCTTAAACAATATTTACAAAGTTTCTCTCTGTGGTATGTCTATTATCCTTGAGCTCGGTTAAATGGTCTTGATTTTTTCAGTTATTATGAGCAATATGACAATATTGGGTGTATGGAATCATTTTGAGGTAAAAATGTTCATCAGACAAGATTCACCTGAACTTGACCTCAATTCATGCATCAGTTTTTGTGACTGTCAGTTTTTCAGATGCAATGAGCAGTAGGTCAACTATAGTTTGATGTACAGGTCAAACGTTCTGGGTGCATCTGACTTTTGATATATAAATACGAAGATATGGTATGATTGCCAATAAGACAACTATCCAGTGACCAAAGGACATAAAGATTAGCAATTATACTGCTTTTAACAATGTAAGACCAAAATCGATATCTCATAGCATGCTACAAAAGGCCCCGACATACCAAAAGTAAAACAGTTCAAAGGACGAAACCAACCGTCTGATTTATGTACAAAACATTAAACAAAAAACAAGTATCATATACCACAGCAATGTTACCACAACCACTGGATTACAAGCTCCTGACTAGACATCATTGCCAGGGTTCATTGGGCCATTGTCAACACTTCACATGCTTGTAAACAACTTCTTGTGTGCATAAGTGTAAATGAAAAAAAAAGAACTACATGTATTTGAAACAAGGCTGTGGCCTTGATTTTGCAAAATACAAAATTAATGGAAAAACAAAGATATGGTGTATCAATTAATGACAAAAAATGACATGCATGCATGTTTTTGTTTTTGTTTTTCGTTTATAGTTTTGTACATAAAACAGGCCATTAGTTTTCTTCTTTGAATTGTTTTACATTTTCATTTCAGAGGTTTTTTCAGCTTACTAGGTGGTGTGGGTTTTGCTAAATTTTGAAAAAAGTTGTTAACTATATCATTTTGGTCTCTGGTGGAGAGTTGTGTCATTGGCAATCATACCACATCTTCTTAATTTTATATGACAAAACCAAATGCAAAGGAACAACACTGCTATTGCTGTTCTTCATCACAAAGTCACAGTGAGGCCTTCAAAGCAGCTTGTAAAAAGAAATCAAACTTAAAGCATTGATATACATGGTACTAGTATATATATATTTAATAATAATTATAAAAATAACAAATAAATAAGAAAATGAGGTATGTCGTACATTCATCTACACTTCATTTACTTTCCCCCATTATAAAACAAACAGAAACTTCTTGTTAAATAATTTTTAGTTCTTCAAAAAACACTTCCTTTCCAAGTAAGAATGTATCCAGACTTTCAATATTTTTTCGAACAAACTGAAGCATCACATTAAGAAAAAAATAGTACATTTGAAGAAGGTATTTTTTTCTCTAAAAATTAAAAATTTTCAATAAGAAGAAATAACACATGAACATGTTTTTAACGTTATGCCAAAACGATGAAAAACTTTCACCATTTTCAGTTTAAATATTTTTTGTCTTAAAGATCAAGATGACTGACAAAGTGCCTTACATTAACATACGTAGCAAACATTTAGCACTTACAAATAATATAACATGTATACATAATATTGAAATTGTTTAAATATTATAATGCTCTATTTAAAATCCTTTTATAAACCTACAATTACACCATTCAAACATATGTCACAGAGGGGACACCTGGTAGTAAACAACCTTAATCAAGGTAGATAACTCAGTTAGACTCCTCCCATTGTTCATGGTTTCAGGAATCCTACGTCATGACACTACACTCTGTCGGATCTGTGACTAATGAAGAAACAATGAAAAAGTGTCATATCTTTTGGCTTCTACACAACAACAAGACAATCTGTAAAAAAATAAAAATTTAACTCATCAAAAACTTTGTTCTTGATATTTTTAAAATTAACATTCAAATGTGTTATATCTCTGTATAGTAAATTCAGAAATGAATGTTCATTTTTTTATTGTGAATTACTGGTAGATTGTGATATCTTATTAATGAGGGACTGGATGAAGGGTCTTTCATTTCTGTATTCTTCATTTTTTAGGCAATTTTTCTCTATTCTTTATATTATAGCACCTCATTATTCTCTATTCTTTATATTTTGTGTCTATTATTCTCTATTCTGTAAACCCCCATCAACGCCCTCATTAATACGATCACAAAAATTTTGTGAAGGAAGATCACTGCTGAAATAATGAATGTGGGTTTTTATCATTGGGAACCTGATGCTGTCGCACTTTTTACATTGCTGGTAATAAAACATCGCAATAATTTCTGAATTTACAGTATTTGTAGTTATGGAGAATGTGTCCATGGACACAGATGATGGGCACACTTGCATATAATGTAATAAAGGGACATAACTTGAGAACAGTAAAAGTGATGCCACCCAATTCAAACTTGATATGTGTTCTGTGGTATTAAGCATTGTGTATAAGTTTCATACCATTTGGTTGAGGCAAACTAAAGTAAGATAACAGAAACCAATTTCTGGAAGTATGTATATAGGTACGGACAAGGGTAACACTCAATGGCCTCTTCCTGTGACAAATAAAATACTGACACTAATCCTAATTTTCACAATGGAGCTGGGAACAATCTAAAATATTTTTAAGATACATTTCTGTACTACCTACTCTAAAACTGAACCGTAAAATAATCTGAAAATAATGACTCACATGCTATGACTGCTTCGTTTCTTCATTTGATTGAGGTAATGGACAAGAGGCTCCCTGGGCCTCTGGATATTCTACTGTTTCCTGGATACCTAACACTTTTAATACTTCATTTGGACTGACATGGTCTGATGGTTCCTGTTGCTTAAAATTCAACAAAACTTTTCCTCCTGTAAAACAATATTGTATGAAATTTTAATAAACATTGAGTTACATTTATAATACTACAAAAGAATATTCATCTCAATGCACTTTTCAATATTTTCCTGAAACCAAAAAAGGAACATAACTCTCAAACAACACATATGAAATTCTGCCATCCATGACACAAAATAAGAATATGCACAGCAAATAAGCAAAGAAACAGCGCTTTTAAAGCTGTTCTTCATATCAAAGTTAACAGTGAGGCCTTCAACATGGAGCAAAAAAACTCCCACCTCACTGCAAGTTTAAGACAGCCCCTAGCACCCAAGGTCTGTACTTCTGGATTTTAATCATTGTATTAAATTATCTAATGACTTCTTTTAATTTTTCACAATTTATAGAGAGGAAACCTAATATTTAGATATTGCCTCAATTATTTAGAGGCATAATTCTGAAAAAATAAATAAATAACTGTGAAATATGGAAAAATTCAAAATTTGAAATTAATCTGAACTGCTTATCATTTAATCACATCATGTACATTGTGCTTGAATTTAAATGATTTCATTACAGCTTGCTCAAACAATTGTGAAAATTTCAATCAACATTTTTAAGGCGTTTGAAAAGTAAAATGTGTAAAATTTGATATCTTACTAAGCATAAAATGTAGTGTATTAAATTATCAAATGATTTTGTTTATATAAACAGAAGAAGATTTGATATGATTGCTAATTGGACAACTTAAAGATTTTTTTTAGGTTATTTTCTAAAGGTTTCATTGCAGCAGAGAATTTTGGGATTTTTTTTTAAAGACATTTGTCTGGGAAAAAAGTGTAAATATCTTCTGTAGTCCTAACATTATGAAATTGTTCTTAATTGTGAAAATATTTTGTACATATAATGTGAAGTTTACACATTAAAATCGCGAAAATACTCAAGTTTACAGTATAAAGTTAAAGTAAATACGGACCTGTTCCAATGACCAGAGTTCCACCATTCTGAAAACCATCACCTTTAAAATCTCCATCTATTTTATCTTCCTTGGCCTGTAACATTTGAAATATAATCTATCTTTCTTGATTGTTTATACATATTCAGGTATAAATAACATGTTATTCCAATGTTAATATACCCTGCTTTGTACAAGATCAACAATTGATTACTGTGAATTTCATTTTATTATCTCCCTTTCTGGCCGTTTTTAATTATCTCCCTTTCTGTCAGTTTTTAAAGTTTTCTTTGAGATTTCAAGATCTTGACAAGGGTGTCCTATAACTGTACTATAATGCATTATATATTTAAAGTTATAGGTTCTTTATCTATATATTACTTTAAGAACTTAAATTGTTCTTTATTTTGTTTTTTCGTTTTTCATTCATTGTTTGTATTGTATTGTGAAAATTATGGATGTTGTAATGTTTATGCCCTTTGGGGCCCATAATTGGAAATAAAATATTCTTCTTCTTCTATACTAACCTTAGACATTGCACTTCGTGATGCTTTGGAAAAAATGGCAGGAAATACATTAAATATATTCATTCTGAAAAATACAATTATATGTCTCGATACTTGTCTTTTCTTTTCCTAATGAACCTATTGTAAAAATAAATAATCTTCAACAAGATACTTTTGTAAGATAAATCTGATTCTGCATTTATTGAGTCTGAAATAAATTATCTTCAACAATATACATTGTGAGATATATTAGATTCTGCATTCATTGAGTCTGAAATAAATAATCTTGAACATTATACATTTGTAAGCTAAATCTGATTCTGCATTCATTGAGTCTAAAATAAATAATCTTCAACATTATGTAATTGTAAGATGTTTTGATTCTGTATTTATTGAATCTGAAATCAATAACCTTCAACATTATAAAAGTGTAAGGTAAGTTTGGAGTCCATATTTATTGAGTCTGAATTTATACAGACAAAATAATGGCAATACGTCACTCGTGATTCTAATTTTTTTAGATAGTATCCCAAACATCTATCAATATACATGTACAAAATTACATTACATGACAAACTAGATTTATTTTCAGGATGTTACCACCGATGTATGAACAGAATTTTAATCAATGGATCATGACTTGTGTAGGTTTAGTAAAAATCTAGACAGTTTGTATGGACACAGTGCGGTAAATTTTAAACCGTCATATCAATATTTCATTGAGAAGTGACTTTTATCTTGTTATCTTTTTTCTCTCTTTGAAAAGTTATCTCTTCTAGCTAATGCAGTAAACAGTTGATTAATTATCATTTGTGTGGTTATGTTTGTAGCTACTGATGATTGATTGATTGTTGGTATTTAATGGCACTATCAACACTCTTGGCCATATCATTGTGACCAGTTTTTATTGGTGGTGCAACTTTGCGGAAGCATGACAGACAGGTGAGAAACATGACATTCAGCAGGAAAACTGACAATCTAAGTCAATTAAGATCAGAGTCGAACACACCTATCATGTGCAGAGTTTGAACTCACAACCTCAGTGTTGTTGATAGGCGAGTGTCAGTGATACTGTAATTGAACTACCAAGATCACACAAACATCAAGGTCTCTGGCTACAAATGAACCACAAATAAAATTTTCATCAAGGTACAAGTTAATAAAGGCTTCTATGCAGAATCTGTTGAAACCACAAAATTAAATATCCAGATAAATATTATATTTCCCCAATCCATGAAAATAAAAGAATCCTCTGTGTCCACAATACAAGAACTTACCTTCTAAAACCAAGACTTTTATAGCACTGCTTCTTCATATCTATATACAAATCTGAAAAAAAAAAGAACAAACATTCAACAGAGACATCAATAAAAAGTTAACACCAGTTTTACAACTTTTCTCTCATATTTAGACCATGCAATGACAGACAAAGTGAATGCAATACAGCCCCAACTTTAAGAGTGGGGGTATAGCTGTCTTCCATACTTTTCAGTACTTCAAAATTACAAAAAAAAGCTAAATTGATGCATCTTGGTCTTTTTTTTTCCAATGATATAGATATTTCACAGTCAGTAAGGGGTAATACTTACACATGTCATGTTTACATACTGGAAGATGTAATTTAAATATTAACTTCTATAAGTAAATTTGTAACATTTAAATTCCCTTTTCACAGATTGAATAACCTCTCCTTATGCTTCTCCAAAAAGTTACTTATACATGAGTCATTTTTTTACAACTCCTGAAATTCTCAAAATTTGGGAGGTCAAAAGATGCCTTAAATATTTTTCCTGGTTTGCCTAGTTTCTTCTAAAAAGATTTCAATCTTTTACCTGAAGAATGAATGAAACAAAGAAATCTAATGTGCACAGATGACTGAGATGTGAAGTAATTAACTGCCCAAGGCCTTCAAAAATTGCTCCCAACAGGCTTGTGAGATGGGCAGTATTTTGAATATAACATACAAATAAGAATTTTGTCCATGAAATTATTCTTTTATGAATAGTAAAGTCAGATATTTTAAAAAGAATGACAATTAAACACTCTATTAGGCCAGTTTCAGGTCAAGAGAAATTAAAAAAAAAGTAATTTTTTTACTTATATACAAGTTTAAAAATTTGGGGGTCTAAGGGATGCAACTCTACCTCCAAAGATATTAACTTGTAGGTGTAATACCATCATTGATTTTTCCCTATTAGTCTTTGTTAAATTTGTACTTTTCAAAAAATTGTGCAGAATTTATCTTTGTTTCAAAGAAAGAAATACTTGGCATGAGTAAAGTTTTATCCTGTCCAGTACTATAGACAAAATTTCACATAACATTTCATTGCATATAAGAAAATAACCATCACTGGAAGTTAACCAATCAAATTTTCACCCCTTTTTTTCCTGTGTACAAGCTTTAGTAACCATGTAACCTCAAGTTTCCAAAATATTCTATAGAAACACCAAATAAAAAAATAAGGGTGCTTTGAAACACCCAAGATATATGTTTATGACTCAGAAATGTTTTACTGCAATGAAATGTAGGATTAATTTCCTACAACTGTCAAAAACAAGGGAATATTTTTTTTCGACCTTTATTCGTATGCAACTGGATGTGATGTACTATGATTTGGTGGTATTACACCTGTAGCAGTTGATAAAAAAAACTTCTGTAATTTTGATTATTGTCCAGATAATATAGGAGCACCATTTAAAATTGGAAAGTATCTTTTCATTAAAATTTATTGCATCAGGGTTACCAGAGTTTAAGTCAAACCATAGTGAGATTCACTTGGCTAAGGGAGCTACCATTTGATTATGGGGGGGGGGGGGGGCTAGGATGAAAAATTTTGACCTGCATTTTTTTTTAGTTGTAATCTCTGTCCTACATTTTTATTTTTCACTTATTCGGTCCTGCCTTTTATTTATTAGTTTATCCTGACTTTTTTTACATAAATTGTCATCCTGCCTTTTTTTTTACAAAGTTGCTCATTCTGCCTTTTTTTTTACTAAAAACTCCTGTCCTGCCTTTTTCCAAAATTCATCCAAGCCCCCCCCCATACAAGGTTGGCAAAAAAGCAGTCAATACTAGTATTGACCATGCCAGTGGTAAATACCGGGAAATACTGGCAAATACTGGTCAATTGAAATTTTGATAGGACTTTACTATAAAACCTAGTCCCTACCTCAGGTCAATTACTGTGTAAATAGATAGATATAGTCACAAGGCAGAAAGTCACTTATTTACTAAATTGTACTAGGACAAAAAGTCACAATTAATTAGTTCATGAACATGGTTTAATGAAGATTTATCAAATATTAATTTAATCATACAACAGATATAGTCATTAACACCACGAAGTCAGTCACTTAAAAGAGACTATATAACATCTGGTTTTCTTAACAGTTATTTTGAAAGATGCAATTAAAAAAAATTTAAAAATTGTTTTATATATATATATATGTATGTTATATAATTATCAAAAAAAAACATTTCCTGAATTTAGAAGATTTTTATCATGCTGTTGAATAGTCAGGAATTAATTCATTGTTTAAAACGAATGTAGGACAGAAAGTCACAGGACAAAAAGTCGCGGACAAAAAGTCACAGGACAAAAAGTCACAATTCAATTTTGAGATTATTTTTCTTTGAACAAGAAAACCTAATTTTAAAAATATTTTTTTTGTTTTTTTCTTGAACTATTATATTTGAAGCAACTTTGTAATTAAAATGTATTCAATAAATATCAATGATGATCAAATAATTGTTATGAAAACAAAATGTCAAAGTGGCTTGGTACTTAAATGGCTTCATTGTGCCATGAAATATATCCTTTGCATGATTAAAATTTAATAAGTTTTCATTGTCAAGGCTTATGAACAATTTCCTAAACTTAAAAATGAATATATGTAATAAAAATTAAATTTTTCAAGATCTTTCTCTTATATATTCAAATAAAATGCTCCGCTGGGCGCAGCTTGATACGACCGCAGAGGTCAAACCCTGAACAGTTGGGGAAAGTATGGACACAACATTCAAGCTTGATACAGCTCTGAATTTGGATTGTGATTAAATATTTGACACAGCATAGGTTTCTGACACAGAATGAATGTGGTCTAAGAACTTAAATTTTTTTAATTTACCTATTATGGTCCAATATCCAAAATCTAAATACATGGTTAGATTCAGCATATCAAAGAATCCAAAGAATTCAATTTTTGATGAAATCAAACAAAGTTCAATTTTGGACCCTTTTGACCTCAATGTGGACCAATTTGATAACGGGGCCCAAAAATCTAAATACATGGTTAGATTCAGCATATCAAAGAACCCCATATATTCAATTTTTGTTAAAATCAAACTAAGTTTAATTTTGGACCCTTTGGACCTTAATGTAGACCAATTTGAAAACTGGACCCAAAATTAATAATCCAAATACACGGTTAGATTTGGCATATCAAAGAACCCCAATAATTCAATTTTTGATGAAATAAAACAAAATTTAATTTTGGACCCTTTTGACCTCAATATGAACCAATTTGATAGCGGGGCCACAAATAAAAAATCTAAATACATGGTTAGATTCAGCATATCAAAGAACCCCATATATTCAATTTTTGTTGAAATCAAACAAAGTTTAATTTTGGACCCCAATTTGGACCAACTTGAAAACTGGGCCCAAAATCAAAAATCTAAATACATGTTTAGATTCAGCATATCAAAGAACCCCATATATTCAATTTTTGTTAAAATCAAACTATGTTTAATTTTGGACCCTTTGGACCTTAATGTAGACCAATTTGAAAATTGGACCCAAAATTAAAAATCTAAATACACGGTTAGATTTGGCATATCAAAGAACCCCAATAATTCAATTTTTGATGAAATAAAACAAAGTTTAATTTTGGACCCTTTTGACCTCAATATGAACCAATTTGATAGCGGGCCCACAAATAAAAAATCTAAATACATGGTTAGATTCAGCATATCAAAGAACCCCATATATTCAATTTTTGTTGAAATCAAACAAAGTTTAATTTTGGACCTTAATGTAGACCAATTTGAAAACTGGGCCCAAAATTAAAAATCTAAATACACGGTCAGATTTGGCATAACAAATAAATAAATGTGGTCAAAGATTTTACAAATCTAATGCGCCATACTGTGCAATTAAAGATTACTTTTTGAAATTTTTCAATATTTGAAATTTGAAGAAAAAAAAAATATTTGAAGAATAATTCTTTTTAATTTCTGAAATCTGAAATGAGAAAAAAATTACCCCCCACAATTTCTTTTTACCCCCCATAAAAAAGATTTTTTTAAATAATTACCCATTTAAATTTACCATTGTGCTAACTTAATCTATTTTATAATAGAATTTAAAATATGGTGTCAAATCTTTCATATGGATTTTTTTGTAAAAAAAAAAGATGCAACATTTGCAGATATTTTTACTGGTCTTCCTTTATAAATATGCATTTCTTTAAACATAATTTAAAAGCAGTGTAAGGGAAGTAATCAAAACGTTGTATGTGGATTACCTCCCTTACACTGTTTTAAATTATCTGAATTGTTCATTAACCATTACTTTATACATAATTTAAAAGCAGTGTAAGGGAGGTAATTCAAGTGATATAATTTGATTAATCTCCCTTAGACTGCTTTAAATTATGTTTTGTACTAAAGTATTTGTCCATATAAAAATGCTTGTTTTTGTCCCTTTTTTGGCCCCTAATTCCTAAAATTTTGATGTAATTACCCCAAAAATCAATCCCAGCTTTCCCTTTGTGATATGGAACCTTGTGGTACAATGTCAGAGTGATCCATACACTAACACACAAGTTATGTCTGGAAGTTACAAAAATGCTTATTTTTGGCCCCTAATTCCTTAACTGTTGGTACCATAACCCCCAAAATAAATCCCAACCTTCCTTTTGCGGTATTGAACCTTATGGTAAAATTTCATAGAGATCCATTAACTTAAACTTAAGTTAGAGTGCGAAAACCAATGTGTCTTCGGACGACGACGCCGGACGACGACGACGCCAACGTCATACCAATATACGATCGCAAACTTTCTGTCCATTTACCTTTTAAAACAATCTTCAGAAATCACTTTTATGACCTTTTTTCTGTTATGTCAACTTTTATTAGGGGACAGTTGTTATCATGGTTATAGTAATTAAACTTTTAACACCTGTTAGCCATATAATAGGTAATGCTCTGATTATCTATATTGCTAGTCACTTGTTATTCTATTTACCTGTAAAATTAAAACCTTTTTCAAGAAAAAAATATCTTGATTTATACATGTTAAAATAACTGATATAGCAATTTTATATGTATACCAACAGTATGCAATATCATTACCCCTAAGAACTAAAGTAGTCATTTATAATGTTTTAATAGTTAATAACATACCAATATCATTCATTTTTATAAACTGAATCATGCCAAAGGAATAAAGGTTTCCCTCATCAACCAATTTTTTACTAGTATTGATAGATAAGTCAGTCAAAAGAAGCTTGAAAATTTCAATTGACCAGTATTTGCCAGTATTGACCACTTGGGGAGAATTGTCCGGGGCGGTAAATACCACTGGTAAATACCGGGGGCGGTAAATACCGCCCAACCTTGCCCCCATAAAAATCAAATGGTTAGCTCCCTTAGGACAGGATAACAGTAAAAATAAATCAAACTTTAAGGGGAGGAGAATGTTTCCTTAACAATAGAGAATAGTTTATAAATTAACATTTAAATATTAGTACATGTAAACATTATTAAGAAATATAAAAGTGGATAAGTCTTTAAACATGTTAAACAGCTCCACAAACCTCCAGCCACAAAACATACATGTACCAGAACAGGACTATCAATAACTTACCCCCATTGAAATATTCTCCTCTTTGGAAATCTTCAAGGCCTAATTCCTCTAAGCCAACACCAACCAATCTTACATTGTTGGCATCAAGCTGAGGCTTAATGGCACTCAATTGTTTCGCCCCAAGGCGACAAAAGGGTCATCCAAACCTCCTCATGAATGTGATAACACATGGCTGCTTTTGGTAAAATGTCTCAATAGCAACATTCTGAAATTAAATAATTTACTGAACAAGCATTCTGAGAGTATTGCATGGCAATACATAGTCCCCTACTGGGTAAAAATTCATTATACTGGAACAAAATGCTAACTTGTTATATAACTTGCCATGGTGTAAACAAAAAGTAAATATCATGTCAATATCTTCAAGCATGACTAAAAACAGTGTGGGAAACTGATTATATGAGTAAATTTTTCAAGTCCAAGGACCATAACTCTGCACAAAATTATTAGACCGAAACAAAAATTTGAACTTGATCTGTAACTTGTCATGATAAAACTATGTACCAATTATCAATCAATATCGTATATAAGCATGATGAAAAAAACATTCGATATGATTAATATATAGTTCTCTAAAATTAGATATGATGTAATACAGTGTATATCTATTTTCAAATTATAATCAAATATAATTAATAGTTCCAAATAGTTTTGCTGTGCATGTTCTGATTTTTTTGTCATGGATGGATACCCCATATCCTTTTTTTTCTATTATACTATATATATGTTATCTACTGTGGATTCATTATTATTCGTGAGATACCAATTTTCGTGGATTTCGTGGGTACAGGTGAACCATGAATTTAAATTTTCAACGAATTACAAATTTTCTATAGGCTTGTATGCAGACTTTGGCAAAACAACGAAATTAAATATCCACGAAAATGCAAGATTTCCTCAATCCACGAAAATTGATACCCACAAAAATAAATGAATCCACAATATATTATCTTACCATGCACTGTATGTTTAGAATTGAGTTGCTTACATGAATTTTGTATGTGTGTTTATATTTTGTTTATATCCAGTCTATTTCAAAAGCTCACTAGAATTTGAGTTATATACATTGTAGTTAATTGAATTTAGATCTTAAATAAAACTGCTGTATGTTTTCCACTTTGTTGTCTCATGGGCAGAAACAGCTTCTTGAATGTTTTTGGTCAGTGTAAAGCTACTATCTCTGATCATATAAAAATGGTGATACATCACTATGAGGTTTCTGGCTTTTCTTAAACATCAACAACACTCGACCCCCTTTTCATTGTGTAAACCCCTGAGGGTTTACGCAGTATATATTGGACGATGTCCGTAGTCTTTCGGAACACCGGATGTTATTCGGAATACATCTGTTTCTTTCTATGGCCACTTTTCATATACATGCGCAATAGCTTATTATTTGATCTGTTGAATCATTAGCATCTTAAAGTTGCTATAGAGATATGTTACATATGATGCGAAATTTATTATGACGCAAGCTACTTTAATAAGCATTTGAATACTTCCTTGCACGCAATTACAAGCTGCTAATATTTACCTTACATATACGCGTAGTTATTCTAATTAGAGTCAAACGTTGAAACCAGCTGTGTTTAGATATGAGATAAGATTTCACGTAAACAATGCGATTTATTTTTCGAAACGAGATTTGTTAAAACTAAAATCTATAAAAGAAGTATTACTAGCATTTCACTTAAGATTCTGAGTCTAGGGAAAATGTACATAATGTACGAAGCAGACTATTTCATAATTTTCATACCTCAACGTCCTTGTGGGACTAACTAAAGGACAATACTGAAATTAAAATGAAGTCTTTCTTGCACTTTATTGAAATTTTACGTCTAGGATAGACCATGAGGACGTATATAATCTAAATTGAGATACGTCCTTGAATAGTTTTTATTTTCTTTAAATTGCAATTTTCTTTGTTTAAATATTGCAACGTTATTTCCTTATCAAATGTCTATTAATGAATAGACACTGAGTGATGACAGATGCAGGCAGCGATAAGAAAAATTAATTTCTATTTATAGTTATCTTGGTCAGGGAACAGATTATCTAACTATATGTTCGGCCTGTAGTAATTAATGCTCTTCAAAATGTTCGTCAAAATAAAAATAAATAATTATTATTTCATAAAGACGATCAGATGATGAATTTTCTGTTTTTAAATATTAAGTACGAAAATGTAAAATAGTGTAAGAAGATTTTGAGCCATCTCATGACTGATCAGTAGGCTACACAGTGCCCCCAAATGACCAGTATAAATTGAAACTATCCAGCAAGAGAGAATAAAATGCTTCGCTGGGGCGCAGCTTGATACGACCGCAGAGGTCGAACCCTGAACAGTTGGGGCAAGTATGGACACAACATTCAAGCCTGATACAGCTCTGAATTTGGATTGTTATTAAATATTTGACACAGCATAGGTTTCTGACACCTAAAGAATGTGGTGTAAGAACTTGAATTTTTTTAATTTACCTATTATGGTCCAATGTCCAAAATCAAAATACATGGTTAGATTCAGCATATCAAAGAACCCCATATATTCAATTTTTGTTAAAATCAAACAAAGTTTAATTTTGGACCCCAACTTGGACAAACTTGAAAACTGGGCCCATAATCAAAAATCTAAACACATGTTTAGATTCAGCATATCAAAGAACCCCAAGAATTCAATTTTTGCTAAAATCTAACTAAGTTTAATTTTGGACCCTTTGGACCTTAATGTAGAGCAATTTAAAAAACGGGACTTAAAATTAAAAATCTAAATACACGGTTAGATTTGGAATATCAAAGAACCCCAATAATTCTATTTTTGATGAAATCAAACAAAGTTTAATTTTGGACCCTTTTGACCTCAATATGAACCAATTTGATAGCGGGGCCCACAAATAAAGAATCTAAATTCATGGTTAGATTCAGCATATCAAAGAACCCCATATATTCAATTTTGGTTGAAATCAAAAAAAGTTTTATTTTGGACCCCAACTTGGACCAACTTGAAAACTGGGCCCATAATCAAAAATCTAAACACATGTTTAGATTCAGCATATCAAAGAACCCCAAGAATTCAATTTTTGTTAAAATCAAACTAAGTTTAATTTTGGACCCTTTGGACCTCAATGAAGACCAATTTAAAAAACGGGACCCAAATTAAAAATCTAAAAACACGGTTAGATTTGGCATATCAAAGAACCCCAATAATTCAATTTTTGATGAAATTAAACAAAGTTTAATTTTGGACCCTTTTGACCTCAATATGAACCAATTTGATAGCGGGGCCCACAAATAAAAAATCTAAATACATGTTTAGATTCAGCATATCAAAGAACCTCATATATTCAATTTTTGTTGAAATCAAACAAAGTTTAATTTTGGACCCCAATTTGGACCAACTTGAAAACTGGGCCCATAATCAAAAAATCTAAATACATGTTTAGATTCAGCATATCGAAGAACCCCATATATTCAATTTTTGTTGAAATAAAAGAAAGTTTAAATACTGGACCCTATCTTGGACCAACTTGAAAACTGGGCCCATAATCAAAAATCTAAACACATGTTTAGATTCAGCATATCAAAGAACCTCAAGAATTCAATTTTTGTTAAAATCAAACTAAGTTTAATTTTGGACCCTTTGGACCTTAATGTAGAGCAATTTAAAAAACAGGACCCAAAATTAAAAATCTAAATACACGGTTAAATTTGGAATATCAAAGAACCCCAATAATTCAATTTTAGATGAAATCAAACAAAGTTTAATTTTGGACCCTTTTGACCTCAATATGAACCAATTTGATAACGGGGTCCACAAATAAAAAATCTAAATACATGGTTAGATTCAGCATATCAAAGAACCCCATATATTCAATTTTTGTTGAAATCAAACAAAGTTTAATTTTGGACCCCAATTTGGACCAACTTGAAAACTGGGCCAAAAATCAAAAATCTAAATACATGTTTAGATTCAGCATATCAAAGAACCTCATATATTCAATTTTTGCTAAAATCAAACAAAGTTAAATTTTGGACCCTTTGGACCTTAATGTAGACCAATTTGAAAACTGGACCCAAAATTAAAAATCTAAATACACTGTTAGATTCGGCATAACAAATAAATAAATGTGATCAAAGATTTTACAAATCTAATGCGCCATACTGTGCAATTAAAGATTACTTCTTGAAATTTTTCAATATTTGAAATTTGAAAAAAAAATAATATTTGAAGAGTAATTCTTTTTAATTTCTGAAATCTGAAATGAGAAAAATTGACCCCCCACAATTTCTTTTTATCCCCCCCCCCCTCTTTTTCCCCCCAAAAAATTCTTTCCCTCAAGATATGGTCATAATCTCAATTCAAATTTCCAATGGAGTTGGCAACCATAATTACCCATTTAAATTTACCATAGTGCTAACTTAATCTATTTTATAATAGAATTAAAAATATAGTGTCAAATCTTTCATATGGATTTTTTTGTAAAAAAAAAAGATGCAACATTTGCAGATATTTTTACTGGTCTTCCTTTATAAATATGCATTTCTTTAAACATAATTTAAAAGCAGTGTAAGGGAAGTAACCAAAACGTTGTATTTGGATTACCTCCCTTACACTGTTTTAAATTATCTTTATTGTTCATTAACCAGTACTTTATACATAATTTAAAAGCAGTGTAAGGGAGATAATTTCAATGATGTATTTGATTTATCTCCCTTACACTGCTTTAAATTATGTTTTGTACTAAAGTATTTGTCCATTAACCAGGACAACCTTGTTTTTCCCCCTTTTTTGCCCCTAATTCCTAAACGGTTTGAGCCATAACCCCCCAAAGCAAATCCTAACCATCCCTTTGTGGTATGGAAACTTGTAGTATAATTTCAGAGAGATCCATACACCGTTCCAGAGTTATTGTCTGGAAACTAGAAAATGCTTATTTTTGGCCCCTTTTTGGCCCCTTATTCCTTAACTGTTGGTACCATAACCCCCAAAATCAATCCCAACCTTCCTTTTGTGGTATTTAACCTTATGGTCAAATTTCTAAAAGATCCATTCACTTTAACTAAAGTTAGAGTGCGAAAACCAATGTGTCTTCGGACGACGACGCCGGACGACGACGACGACGCCAACGTCATACCAATATACGACCACAAAATTTTTTGCGGTCGTATAAAAAGGATAGCCGGGTCAATGTAAGAAACCTACTAGGCAACTTCAGTTCAATTTCAATATCTCGATTATTCATATGGATTTGTCAGGGAATATCTTTTTAAATGTGGTAGGAAGACAACTCTCCATCAAAACACAATGTAGTCAAAATTAGCAATTATAGGTTATAATTCAGCCTTCAACACAAAAGCTTGGCTCACATTGGACAGCATCCTACCGAGGACCCCAAAACACTGTTATAAAACAATTTAAACAGGAAAAAAAACCAAACAGATCCAAAGTAACTTCAAACCAGAAACAAAAAGCAAATATGAACTGCACCAAAAAAAGACAACCACTAAACAACATGCTTCCAACTTGTGACATGTGCTTATGAATACACCTGGTTTAAAAGAATTTACATACATACCATAAGACAGTAGTGTAATTTTACCATGTAAAAGACACCCTTTAATATTTAATGAAAAAATCGTGTTCAGATAAAAATAAAATGCTCCGCAGGGCGCAGCTTGATACAACCGCAGAGGTCGAACCCTGAACAGTTGGGGCAAGTATGGACACAACATTCAAGCTTGATCATGTTGATACAGCTTTGCATTTGGATTGTGATTAAATATTTGACACAGCATAGGTTTCTGACACAGAATGAATGTGGTCTTACGTCTAAGAACTTAAAAATTTTAAATTGGACATTCACCTATTATGGTCAAATATCCAAAATCTAAATACATGGTTAGATTCAGCATATCAAAGAACCCCAAGAATTCAATTTTTGATGAAATCAAACAAAGTTTAATTTTGGACCCTTTTGACCTCAATGTGGACAAAGTTGATAACGGGGCCCAAAAATCAAAAATCTAAATACATGGTTAGATTCAGCATATCAAAGAACCCCATATATTCAATTTTTGTTGAAATCAAACAAAGTTTAATTTTGGACCCCGATTTGGACCAACTTGAAAACTGGGCCCATAATCAAAAATCTAAATACATGTTTAGATTCAGCATATCAAAGAACCCTAAGAATTCAATTTTTGTTAAAATCAAACTAAGTTAAATTTTGGACCCTTTGGACCTTAATGTAGACCAATTTGAAAACAGAACCAAAAATTAAGAATCTAAATACATGGTTAGATTCGGCATATCAAAGAACCCCAATAATTCAATTTTTGATGAAATCAAACAAAGTTTAATTTTGGACCATTTGGACCTCAATGTGGACCAATTTAAAAACGGGGCCTAAAATCCAAAAACTAAATACACGGTTAGATTCAGCATATTAAAGAACCCCAAGAATTCAAGAATAAAAACCCCATTGAAATTGGTCAAGAAATAAGCAATTTATACGAAGTATCTTCTTTTGCACAATACTGTGCAATTAAATATTTCTTGCTATTGCGTAATACTGTACAATTGACAATTTCTTGCTATTGCACAATATTGTGCTATTGGATATTTCTTGCTATTGCGCAATACTGTGCAATTGAAGATTTCTTGCTATTGCACAATACTGTGCAATAGAAGATTTCTTGCTATTGTGCAATACTGTGCAATTGAAAATGTCTTGCTATTGCACAATACTTATTATATAATAATTTACACATCCTGTTTGGTGTGTATCTCCTACCATATCATTATTATTTGCTTTTAAATAAAAATCAGAAATAACCAACTTAAAATGGAAAATTTTAAAAGAAAAAAAAAAGGAAAAAAGAAAAAAAAGGAAACCCCCCCCAATTTTTTGAACCCCCTTATGATTCATCACCCCCAAACTCAATCCCAGCCTTCCCTTTGTGGTATGGTACCTTGCAGTACAATTTCAGAGAGATCCATACACTTAAACACAAGTTATTGTCTGGAAACTAGAAAAATGCTTATTTTTTTGCCCCTTTTTGGCCCCCAATTCCTAAACGTTTCGGCAATTACCCCCAAACTCAATTCCAGCTTTCCCTTTGTGATATGGAATCTTGTAGTACAATTTCAGAAAGATCCATACACTTACATACAAGTTATTGTCATGAAACTAGAAAAATGCTTGTTTTTTGCCCCTTTTTTGGCCCCTAATTCCTAAAATTTTGAGGCAATTACCCCAAAAATCAATCCCAGCATTCCTTTTGTGATATGGAACCTTGTGGTACAATGTCAGAGAGATCCATACACTAACACACAAGTTATGTCTGGAAGTTACAAAAATGCTTATTTTTTGCCCCTTTTTGGCCCCTAATTCCTTTACTGTTGGTACCATAACCCCCAAAATCAATCCCAACCTTCCTTTTGTGGTATTGAACCTTGTGGTAAAATTTCATAGAGATCCATTCACTTAAACTAAAGTTAGAGTGGGAAAACCAATGTGTCTTCGGACGACGCCAACGTCATACCAATATACGACCACAAAAATTTTTTTGCGGTCGTATAAAAATCGTAAGGGTTCTGCGGAACCCAGTGTCTCGCCTACTTTTGCTGTAAATCGCAGGCTCAACAAAAATGAGGAAAAACATCAATAAAAATATTCCTCTCAATACTATTTTTTTTTATTTTAAGAAACTTCTGTCCAAGTTTGGTAAAAATCCAGGATAGTTTATAAATCTAAAAAATTTAACTTCAGACTGTTTGTAATGTTAACTGGAAAAACAGGTACAAATTTTTGACAAAAAATTTCCTTCTAGATACTAGCTTTTAATCATAAACAAGCTTCTGTCCAAGTTTGGTACAAATCCAGGATAGTATAAGAAAGTTATTAAAATTAAAAAAAAAACTTTAACCTCGGAGTGAATGTATTGTATCCCAGCAGAAAACTAAGTCCATTTATAAGTAAAATACGGAAAAAATGGAATTTCATTTTTACAAAATTTACTTCTGGATACTATCTTATGATCATAAACAAGCTTCTGTCAAAGTTTGGTACAAATCCAGGATAGTTTAAGAAATTTATTAGAATTTTAAAAACTTTAACCACAGAGTGAATGTATTGTTTCCCAGCAGAAATAACTAAGTCCATTTATAAGTTAAATACGGAAAAATGGAATTTCATTCTTACAAAATTTACTTCTGGATACTATCTTATGATCATAAACAAGCTTCTGTCCAAGTTTGGTACAAATCCAGAATAGTTTAAGAAAGTTATTAAAATTTCAAAAACTTTAACCACAGAGTGAATATTTGTGGACGCCACCGCCGACAACACTGACGGAATGTAGAATCGCTTTGTCTCGCTTTTTCGACTAAAGTCGAAGGCTCGACAAAAAGGACCACCTTACAACAGTTCATAAATGTGACCTTTAAACAATCTCATATTTAGGTGATGGGTATACTGATCAGTGGTAATTTCAGGTTTGACCATGTTAGTTTTTTTGTTGTTTTCAATTTTGTTTGTTTGTTTATAAGTACAAGGTGTAAGCTGTTTTGTCTATGCTATATCTTTTTAATGAATTGGTTTCGGTCATCAAGGTGAAGAGGATACAGTGCGATTCAAATTGTATATATTTACAATTAAACTTGCAGGCCTTTTTTCATGACCCACAATTCAAAATATAAGAAAACATCAAAATAAAAAGGGACATCCGGAAAATATCTTCAAAGCGAGTTAAAGGTTTTAAAAGTGTTTGTTTTTAACAAAAGAGGTTTGTCATCTAAAACTTTTAAGAGCATACACAAAGCACAGAACTTAAAATTGCCAATGCTTGCTACCCTAAGCATAAAAAACCTTGCAGAGCAGGTGTAAGGATCTTAATAATGATCAATATCAAGCCATTGTTCAAATAACCATGAACATATCTCAAATTCCAATAAAAACGGCTATTTTACAGGTTCACGTATTGCATTTCTTAAACACATATACATGTAATCATTAATTGATTAAATTTCTTCACATTTGCATTTGAACTTTAGCCTAAAAACTAACTCTAATTTAAAAACAAAAACCAGCATCTTAGAATGGAACATCAAGTGGGTGACTTAACATGATGTCTTTCGGGAGAGAGGAGAGAAAAAAATATTCCTTTAGCAAGAATATTTCACCCCACATTGAACAGTATTTACTTTAAGTAAATAGTCACTGTCAGTTTCTAATTCTTATATAACAAAAATGATATAAAACAGTTAATCTTTTTTTTTAAACAATTATCTTATATCTAATGCCAAACAAGCATTTGGGTTTACGATTGCATTTCTTATTTTAAAGAAAGCAACTTGTATTTTATTATTTATCATTGACATTGTTTATCTGGATAAAATAAACAAACAATAAAAAAATCAGTAAGAAAATGTTTCCCGCGTGCAAACTACTATATAAAGACACATAAATAAACATAACGCAATAATAAGCAAATAATAACATTTCAATTTGCAATATTATATAAGCTTGCACTGATGGTTATATCATCATATCCTGAATGTAAACAAACCTCTCCTGTAGTGACACATTTAACCAGGTTTTTAGCTATTTTTGACAGTTCCATACTCAATGGAACTTGAAGAGCTCGTTTGGATATATTCTGAAGTGTCGAGAAAACCAAGCGAGCTGACGAACAAGCTATCTTCCCACCACACCAGAGTATGATGACTGTCACCTGCTTCACTGCTTCCATACAATATCACGTGTAGACATCACGTGTGGGCGGAGTTTGTTTACATTTTTACGGTGTCGTTACAAAAGAGTTCCAATATAATAGTCCACTTACGTAAAGACAAATCTATAGTACACATGCACTGCATGATTGATATTGTATTCCCACTCTTTGGCAAAATTGTCGAAATAAATATAAAGAAATAACAATACCAAATCAAATTTATTTAAAGTTAGTCAGTAAAAAGCATACAATACAATAATATATAAGCTCTTTAGAGCTTTTAAAACCGGTCGACATACTAAAAGTACATGCAAGCATAACATATAGGCCCAACATCAGACAAACATGCAAGAACACAGACATAAGTTTATCAATACATACACATGCCTAGCAAAACAATGATAGCATAATTAAAACATAAATTAGCCAATCTAAAAAACTAATAAGCACATATGTTAATCATTCTCGTATGTTTCTTAAAATAAACTGCAAAATATTAAAAGTGATTATAAAATGAAAGCACTAGTAGGACACATTGTAACATATCAAAATGTTAATATTTTTACTTTTGCTTATATATTCGTCATTTGAACTTTGGTGGATAGTAACTGTTGTCTCATTGGCAACTATATCACATCTCTTTCATGACCAAGTTAAATATTTTTGTATAAAAAAACATGACTTTTTTCATCATAAATATTTGATTTATTTTCAGTTAAGATTTCATATGTGTCTGATATTTCTCTTTTGATGAGAATTTTGAGTGGTTTAGCTTCTTTCAAATTTTTACTATATTCTATTTTATATAAGATTAACAGGGGTGGATTCAGGCGGGGGCGTGGCGGGCGTGCGCCCCCCTAAAATTTGCAAAGCATGGGTTATCCACAGGGGTTTGTAACAATTTGCCGGGTTAACTATCCATACGAACCCCGAAAAATTTTTTTTTCGGAATTTTTTTCGGGGTTCGTATGGATAGTTTACCCGGCAAATTGTTACAAACCCCTGTGGGTTATCCTCAGCTTAATAAAGAATATTTCGATAATTTTACCTAAAAAAATTATTCGCTCCGCTCGGCGAAAATTTTAGTTTGCGCCCCTCCTAACCTAAAATCCTGGATCCGCCCCCGAATAATATCGTTACCAGGTACAATATTCTTGACATGCATATGTATACCAAGAATATGTACCGTTGTAGTCAACTGATTATGACAACACAAAAGCCTCTTTTGGAAGGGAGTTGGCCTTTTTGTTGTAATGTCTTGCTAGGTAAACCAGACTGAATGGAAATGAAATGTGCTACTTGAAATCTTCCAAGTTCAGATCGTGCCCCAACATTTGAAGCAGATTTTTTTTTATTCCCACTATAAATTTTCAAAAGTTTAAATGTTTGTCTGCTCTATGGTCGGGTTGTTGTCTCTTTTACACATTCCCCATTTCCATTCTCAATTTTATTTATATATCTGAGGGATTTTTTCTATAAATAGAAAGGATGTAGACTTTTCCCACTTTTTCGTCTCGATTTTTTCGCCATATGAAAGGTCAAATAACTATCCAGAAATGAAATATCTGAGTTGTAAGTCAAGACTGGGCGTAGTAATTTTTCAAAAAAGATTATTTGAGACCTGTGTAGAAAGACTGCACAAGGAAGGAGTTTTAGCTTTATAGAAAACAAACTTTTCTGGCCTTTATAGAAAGATCCTCTTACCTGTGATTCAGGTTACCATTACTTCTAAGTAGTGAACCTAGAAACTTGTATTCATTAACATTTTGTAATAAATCATTGTTCTAATTAATAAATGATTCCACATTACTACTACTGTGATGCTGAATAACCATAGGTTCATAGATATAAGAAGATGTGGTATAAGTGCCAATGAAAACTCTCCATCCAAGTCACAATTTGTAAAAGTAAACCATTATAGGTCAAAGTACGGCATTCAACACGGAGCCTTGGCTCACACCCAACAGCAAGCTATAAAGGGCCCCAAAAATGACTAGTGTAAAACCATTCAAACAGGAAAACCAACGGTCTAATCTATATAATCAAAGCATCGTCGATGTTGTGATCCAGCCATATTCATAGCTAGTCTGATATTCTTTCTGACCATACTTTTTTCAATATTTTTTCTCTTTTCATTTCCAATCCTACTGTTAAATTTCTATATCATTGCCCACAGGTAGGGAATCCGCAATATTGATGCAAATAATGATATTTCTATTCATATTTCAATTTTAGACTCTTTTAGATTTGAAATTTAATGGTATTGACATGATTGGAATGGAAATCGTCAAACAAATAATATATTTTTTTATAAGCCATTAATAATAACTGGCTTAATAATTTCCAGAAAGAGGCCTTGGAAATGCACTTTCTCAACAACAAAAATGAAAAAAAAACAAACTAATTTTTATCTAAATTGGTGTTCATTCTAATATATTTCCTGTATTCAAATTTAAATGTACAAATACCTAATGCTGAGATATTTCCAATTACTATTAAATAGCAATATAATGGGATGTAAATGTAGAACAAACAAATAAATTTTATTGCAGAAAATGCACAGGTAAGAGTTATGCAATTTTGTTTATTGTTTCAACCAAATTTCTGATAATTGTAACTTATTAATAAGATCTTGATTATTGACTTATGTCAGATGATAATGACACTGATTTTACAAGTGAAATAAAATTTGCTTGCATTTTTTATACATATTTTGTCTTTTCTTTGAAAAAAAACCCACGTCTGATTAATCATTCAGCTAGCTAGCAAAATTATTTATTTTAATATTGAGCTTCTGATGATCACAAAAAAAACCAACACTTTATACTCTTTTGAAGACCTTTTTTACTCTCTGTGAGTATAATTTAATCATCAAATAAAAGGGATCCAACGTTTGAAGTAAGTAATTTTTGTGGCTTGGAATTTGCTCCAAATCATTAATGAAATATTTTGTAAGTCAAGACTGGGCGTATTTACGAATGGTGTAAATGTTTTGACAAGTTTGTGGTATCGGAAATTTGAACGAAAGAAATCTCTGTATTAAGGAGATGTGGTATAGTTGCCAATGAGACAACTATCCACCAGAGTTCCAATGAAGCAATCGTAGGTCACCTTATGGCATTCAACGTTGAAAAATCTCCATACCGTATATAGTCAATTATTTAAAAAGCATCTTCGCTAGCCAAGGGTTGTCAACAATTTTATACAGCAAAAACTTTAAACGTTGCTTTAGTCAGATTAGGGGAGGATTGAGCGCTCACAAACATGTTTAACCCCGCCACATTCTTTATGTGCATGTCCATTATCATAATTCAGTGTATCTGTAATTCAGTGTATCTGTAATTCAGTGGTTGTCGTTGGTGCATGTCCATCATTTTTGTTTTTCGTTATTTAAATTGTTATATAAATAAGACCGTTAGTTCCCCCCTTTGAATTGCTTCACATTTTTCATGATGGTGCCCGCTAGCCCAGGTTTACGATCCGATCCCTTATTCTTTAAACATATACTTTGATATAATACCAACAACTATGCAATTAAAGATGTAGCTAAATGCATGCACCCCACCCCCTTAACAAAATAACGTAATGTCAACTATTTATTTTTCATTATTGTTATAAATCTAATTATCGTATTGTACAATATGAATTCGTACATTCGGACATTTAAATTTTTAAAACGCTAATTTCACATTTCGAACTTTAACAACAGCTGTACCTTTTTGCAGAATTATATGGAGTCATTAGAAAAGCGGAACTATAGATGAAGGGGGAGACAGGATAAAGGGAAACAGGGAGAGAGGGACGGGAGAAAGGAGAGAAGGGATAGAAAAGGGAGACAAAAATGTATATAAAAAAATAAAAGTGAGCCGGAAAACAATTATTTTATTAAATTAAAAAAGCTTCAAGAAAGTGCTAATAAATGTCATAGTAATAAAAACGACCTCATAAATACTCCGAGCGTCGTCACTTATTCATTCCGGATTTATTCGGTCAAAAAACCAAGACATTTGATCGATTTCTCTTAAAATGAGCTTCCTATACATTAGTTATTTATGTTTGAGGGCGGGAGACAAGAGAAAGGGGGCGGGAGAAAGGAGAGAATTAAGGGGCGTGAGAAAGGAAAAAAGGTACCCCCTGTCCGCCCCCTCATGCATAGAGAAAGGTGAACATTTGTGATTGACACATTATAGTTCTCGACAGAATGTTTTGTTGGACACCGTATAACAAGTAGTACCTAAACTGATTTTTTTTGTCATTGAGAGAGGTGCGAACTCTTAAAGGCTAACCTGTGACTTTCAGATGAAGAACACTAATACAAGTTATATTTTGCAGTATCGCATTGGTTTTGTAAAGTGAGAGTAGGGACTTTGAGTCAATTATCAATACACTATAATTGACCCTTCATGGACGAGTTTGTCTTTCATGTTGAGTAGGCCGAAGAAAGTTTTTCCCAAGGTTGAGGTTTTTGTTCTCATATTTAAATGTTTTAGCGAATTTATTATTAGAATGACTTTTTGTTCCTCTTTCAATCTCCGAAGATACAGTGGCAAATATTACATGTATATCAAGACGGCAACATGTTAACTTTATATGAATATGAACCCTGCATTGTATACTAGATCAACACACGGAGTCGTATATTGAGAAAAAGTAAAACGACAAAAATACCGAACTTCAAGGAAAATTCAAAACGGAAAGTCCCTTAAAATTCTTAAAATCTACTGCAAAATCTTTAATCACAATCTTTACAATTTTGCAGTGATATAAAAAAAAAATGTTTGTCTACTCTTTGCATTAATATTCCCCTTGATCAATTAAAAGGAAAAATAACAAAAATACCGAACTCCAAGGAAAATTCAGAACGGAAAGTTCCTTATCAAATGGCAAAATCAAAAGCTCAAACACATCAAACGAATGGAAAACAACTGTCATATTCCTGACTTGGTAGACATTTCCTTATGTAGAAAATGGTTGATTAAACCTGGTTTTAAAGCTCGCTAAACCTCTCACTTGTATGAGGTGCTAGCTCACAAGGTTTAAAACTCTGCAAGAAGATGATTGCTTGGTTGTTTGGTTAATATCCAGTGGCAAATGTTATATGCATATCAGGACAAGAACATGTTATCTTTGTTACGAATATGAATTTACTAAGGTGCTTTGTAAGCTACAGATCAACATGCATGCTGATTGGTATTTTAAGGTGCTAACTCAAGAGATATAATATTATGCGAAAGGAGGATTCCTTAATTGTTTTAATAATATCCTGAGGCAAATAATTACATGCATATCAGAACTTTGTATGGAAATGAATTTATCCTGCTGTGGAAATTATAGATCAACACGCTGAGCTGCAAGTTTGAGATGCAAGCTATTAAAGGTAAAAACTGCCGAAAGATGGTAGATTGATGTTTGCTTTATGTCCAGTGGCAAATATAACATGCACATTGAGACGACAATAGCCAATTTTATATGAACTGTAATTTTGAGGTACGTTCTAGCTCACATGGTCTTTAGAAGACATGCAACATCACCAATATCTTTTATTGTCCAGTGGCAAATATAACATGCATATTGAGACGACAATAGCCAATTTTATATGAACTGTAATTTTGAGGTACGTTCTAGCTCACATGGTCTTTAGAAGACATGCAACATCACCAAGATCTTTTATTGTCCAGCGGCAAATATAACATATGCATATTGAGACAATAGCCATGTTTATATGAATTGTAATTTTGAGGTACGTTCTAGCTCAAATGGTCTTCAGAAGGCATGTAACATCAACAAGATCTTTTATTTTGACTACCGATCCGACCATTATTTTCTAATACTCCTAACCTAATACATGTAGACTGTATGAAATATCAATTAGAAAGTCTTTGGTCTGAACAGGTCGATGATCAAAACTGAAATTTCTAGGAACACAGACAAGCATGATACCACCGTTTAAAAATCGACATGTATATTGATTTTACAGAACACAATATCGTGCATGTATATAGTAAAATAACAAAAATACCGAACTCCAAGGAAAATTCAACACGTAAATTCTTTTATCAAATGGCAAAATCAAAAGCTCAAACATATCAAACAAATGGAAATCAACTGTCATGTTCCTGACTTGGTAGAGGCAGTTCCTTATGTAGAAAATGGTGGATTAAACCTGGTTTTATAGCTAGCGAAACCTCTCACTTGTATGACAGTCGCATAGAATTCATGCACGTTTCACTACTCAGTGAAGCAAATCGGAGTTATTACGAGGCCGCTATTTTTTTTAACATTTATGTCATATAACCCCGTGACCATACATTTAAAAAACATCAAAGAAAAAGACTTAACATCGAATGTTCACAAAAACGTTACACGGAAAACTAAATATGGAGCAACAAAAAATCTACTGAAAATCGGGGATGAAACCCATTTGCTCCTGATGTTTTCGTGGTTCCTGTCTCGCTAGCGAAGAAGGTCGCATTGCCCATGTCGAATTTAATACAATATGGTTTTTATCGGCAATTAAGGTTTCTACATACCACTGGACATAGGTATATACATGTTTTGTCTGACCCTAATGCCATATCAATTACGTAACTCAAAACCTAACTATAATACCTTGTTTTATAAGGATTACTATAACACCTTGTTTTATAAGGATAACTATAACACTTTGTTTTATAAGGATAACTATAATACCTTGTTTTATAAGGATAACTATAATACCTTGTTTTATAAGGATAACTATAACACCTTGTTTTATAAGGATAACTAGAACACCTTGTTTTATAAGGATAACTAGAACACCTTGTTTTATAAGGATAACTAGAACACCTTGTTTTATAAGGATAACTAGAATACCTTGTTTTATAAGGATAACTATAACACCTTGTTTTATAAGGATAACTATAACACCTTGTTTTATAAGGATAACTATAACACCTTGTTTTATAAGGATATCATAGTTACTATCAACAGAAACAGTAAACTAATAATTTTACAAGACTCCCGCTGATATTTTACTGTCAAAAGTTTATATCACTGACATTCACAAACAATGGAATAAAAACAAAATTTTTGCGTCTACTACAAGTCAATATTTCTCATGCTGCTTATGGCGTGTGCCATTCTCTGTGGCATTTGTTCAGAAACATCAGGATAGTCGTCCGGCGTCGCTTTCAGAAGTTCCTCAATGTGGATAATGTTGTCTGATGCACGCAGGCCTAAATCGTCAAGGACATTGCAAAGATAGTCTATGTCTGTTATCAGCTGTTTCGTCGCGTGCGGGGAAAGCTCGTGAATTTTCAAAATCTCTTCTGCATAGAAGTGCATTGTTCCTCGAGCGATAGATTCCAACCATAAATCTGCTGTATGTTCAGGGACGTCTGTTTCGTCTGTGTATGGTAGTCGCCCGTGCTTCAAAGCGACTAAAACAGCAGGATTGTCTTGCATAGTGAACGGTTCCAAATGCTGTGGTAGGGTCATCATATATTGGCCTATTTTCGTAATGTATTCTTGAGGTGAGAGACTGAAGGTCGGTAGGTCAGAGGTCAAGGCACCCCCGGCGCTTCTTGAAGTCCACATTTCCATTGCTGACAAATCGACCAAATACCTCTTCAAAGGACCAAATACAATTTCGAACGCAAACTTATGAACTTCTTCGCTCAATTTACAGAAATCTTTCTTAATTTCTGATACTACAGATGGAGTTTCACCTTTTTCTAAATTGATGACAAATTGTTCAAGGTCGTCTAGATCTACTCTGCTACTAAGCAACAAGCTGGCATGAGATTGCAAAGATGAATGTGTTCCCCAAAACCGGTGCCTACTGATTTCTTTTTCTGGTGTCAGAGGCACTACATATTTTCCAATAGTATGTAAGATGCTGCTAATGATAACGGTGTCAAGGTCGTCTAAATGCATGATCAATTCTCCACATGTTTGAATAATTCGTAAAGACTGCTGAAAATTAGCCCATTCTTCGTCTTCTTCAGTAAATTGTGTTGTTTTGCTCTTTTCTTTGATATTTGTAAGAACTCGTCTGAACTCTTTACAGTATGATTGGAAATACGACTGGAGAGAGGTTAACAAGAAGCAATACCCAGTTCCATTGGTCAATTGCTGGCACCGGTCGTCTGCATCTTTTGCCACTGCAAAAAGTTTGTTTACTGAAGCAGCAAGAAGCTGGACGGTTTCAAACACATCCTCGTGGTCAAGAGCAATTTTGTTCAGTGAATTTGCAAGAGAAATTTCTTCTAGAGACTTATATTTAGCTATGTAACCTCGGTATGGAGCATAAATTGACATCAACATCTTTTCCATGCTTGAAAAGTGCTCAGAAATGTTTGAGTCCATGGCGGCGTCTACAGCTTGCTCTAAACTGTGTGAAAATCGATCTGTGATCTGTTTGATTTCAATCAAAGCTAAAAGTGGCTCTTTGCCTTGAAGATAAGTAGCAAAGCAAGAAGCCAAAGGTGGGTCCAGAGTAGCCAGAGTTTCTGTGATAAGCTCACACACGATTGGCAGCGGGTCAGAAAATACTTGTTGACACCATTTCATCTGCACATGCCAGGTAGACAAAAGTTGGTCGTAATATTCAGTCAACCATTCTTTCAAAGTGTTGTCTCCTTTTGATTGTATTAGATCTTTCCAGTCCGCCAGAAGCGATGTTTTGTGACATTTGTGGTAGTACTTATACAATTGCGGCAGACGGTCAATATCGGCAAACATCTTCGTATAATTTCGGGCGGCTTCTATCGATTGGTTATTGAAAGCCGAAATTAGCTGCGGACTCAACATGGCCTCAAGACGATTCTTAAGCTTCTCTAAGTGCTGACATCTATCAGCGTAATCTGGAGTATCGACAAGCATCTGAAGGCAATTTTGCATCCTGGAAAGTTTTGTTGTTATATCAGCAACATCTTGAGAATGGAAAACATCCTCTACGTCAGTACTTAGAGTTGTCCAGTTGTCAGCTTCTTGTAAAGCTTCGGCTGCTGATGACATCCGGGACTTTATTACATCCAACTTCAGCAACATCTGCATGGATTGTGCTGTAAATAGAAATATATTATCAACTGATCGCGCAGTTATATTTATTAACATCGATTTGGCCATAGTGCGATTTGACAAAAGAAATCAAAATCGTAAAACTACGACAATTCTAAGTTTTTAATTTATCAAGATATTAAAAATTCATATTCTTATTGTAGTATATGCATTAGATATCTTCCCATCACTACAGAGTAAAGCTACAAATAGGGAGAAATCTGCAATAAAAGCTCTTTTGTTCACGTATATATACACATCAGTGGCGGATCCAGAACTTTTCATAAGGGGGCCCGCTGACTGACCTAAGGGGGGCCCGCTCCAGTCATGCTTTAGTGATTCCCTATATAATCAACCAAATTTTTCCCACGAAAGGAGGGGCCCGGCCCCCCAGGCCCCCCTGGATCCGCCTATGCACATGTATATTGAAATCTGATTTAAAGCATAACATCTGATTTTGATTGATTTAATCCAAATAGGACTCGTTGAACAGTCAAATCAGCTACAAACCCTGAAGCCTAAAAAAGGATTAAAATAAAAAAATAAGGAGAAGTGGTATGATTGCCGATGAGACAACTATCCACTGAAGTTCAAATGAAGTGGATGTAAGCCATTATAGGCAACCGTACGGCCTTCAACAATAAGAAAAACCCATACCGTATGGTCGGCTATAAAAGGCTAAGACATGAAAAATATAGATATTCGATTGAGAAACTAAACTAAAGGTTATTCTTCAAGCTGTTTAATGCATACGGACAAAATGTTCGACTTTCACCTCGCTGATCACTGCAAGAGGATTGGTACTGGGTAAAACATTTTACCAAACTAATTAAAAGATGTACTTCAGGTGTGTGTTTCGTCTACAAAAGACCCAAAAGTGCAGGGTGCAGAAAAAAGATTCTTCTGTGATATTTGGATTGACAATGTTTGTTATTTGTCACTCTAAAATACATTTTTCATCAGTCCAATCCAATATTTTTTTTGAAAAATTCACACCGATTTATGTAGAGTCAGACATTTCTACTGACATTATAACAACATACTGTAATAATAAATGATGTAAGACATTTCAAATTTTAATCAGTCAAATAACCAGGACTGACATTTTTTAAGAACTCTGGTTCTTAAATAAAAACAGAACTTTACAAGGCCAGATCAAGTATGAAATTGTGTGGAGCATTGCCAACAAAACTTGAAATCAGATAAATTTTCCGCAGGAAAACATACGGACAGATGAAAACAAGAGTGCACACGCTGAAATGTCTCGCCTTCTTTACTAATCATTGATTATGTTGATAGTCCTAAATATAAAGCTTTATTACAACTGCCACATAAACTTAACATTAACCAAGTAAACTAAACATTGACCAATGAACCATGAAAATGAGGTCAAGGTCAGATAACCCATGCAAGGCAGGCATGTACAGCTAACAAATCTTCCATACAACAAATATAGTTGACCTATTGCTTATAGTTTAAGAAAAACAGACCAAAACACAAAAACTTAACGCTGAGCAATGAACCTTGAAAATGAGGTCAAGGTCAAATAAAACCTGCGTGACTGACATATTGATCATAAAATATTTCCATACACCAAATATAGTTGAACTATTGCATATATAGTATTAGAAAAAAAGACCAAAACTCAAAAACTTAACTTTGACCACTGAACCATGAAAATGAGGTCAAGGTCAGATGACACCTGCCAGCTAGACATGTACACCTTACAATCATTCCATACACCAAATATAGTAGACCTATTGCATACAGTATAAGAAAAACAGACCAAAACACAAAAACTTAACTATAACCACTGAACCATGAAAATGAGGTCAAGGTCAGATGACACCTGCCAGTTGGACATGTACACCTTACAATCATTCCATACACCAAATATAGTAGACCTATTGCATACAGTATAAGAAAAACAGACAAAAACACAAAAACTTAACTATAACCACTGAACCATGAAAATGAGGTCAAGGTCAGATGACACCTGCCAGTTGGACATGTACACCTTACAGTCCTTCCATACACCGAATAGACTAGACCTATTGCTTATAGTATCTGAGATATGGACTTGACCACCAAAACTTAACCTTGTTCACTGATCCATGAAATGAGGTCGAGGTCAAGTGAAAACTGTCTGACGGGCATGAGGACCTTGCAAGGTACGCACATACCAAATATAGTTATCCTATTACTTATAATAAGAGAGAATTTAACATTACAAAAAATCTTAACTTTTTTTTCAAGTAGTCACTGAACCATGAAAATGAGGTCAAGGACATTGGACATGTGACTGACGGAAACTTCGTAACATGAGGCATCCATATACAGAGTATGAAGCATCCAGATCTTCTACCTTCTAAAATATAAAGCTTTTAAGAAGTTAGCTAACGCCGCCGCCGCCGTAGCCGGATCACTATCCCTATGTCGAGCTTTCTGCGACAAAAGTCGCATGCTCGACAAAAATATCGAAACTTTGTCTTTCGGTCATAACAAAGGTTCTGTTCAAATTTCAAATAATTCAATTATTGGTTCAACAAGTTATTGCTGTTTAATTTTTTTTACCACAGACTGAACCTTAATGTTGACGACGCCACCGCCGATGCTGACGACGGGTGGATGATACATGTAGCCATGTCAATAGAAATTGGGACGTAAATATCGAAGAATCGGGAGAGTGTCATGCTCTCTGCACGTTTAAGAACCGTTGCAACGAGCCATAAGGGTCCTTATAAATCACCGCCGCCGTCATCCAGTTCGACCTTATTTCTAGAAATGCCTATTAGATTGCCAGAATATGTATAATTTTTTTGTCACTGGACTTTAAGCAAGCGCCAATCGATCACTCAATCTGTTGGCTAGTTACTGATTCAGGTTATTCGTCGAGAAAAAAGTACTTTTAAAATATGTATAATAATGAAATTTTACCATTTTTACCAAACTTGGAATAAGATTAAGACTAAGTCATCAAGTCAGGGGTTTAATTCACAGAACATATTTTTTTTTAAATTTGTGTTTTACTTCAGAACCGGCCAACGGTTAGTTTAAATATATTTTATTGTTCGAAAGGACAAATGAATTAGACACAAGTTTCAACATAGTAGCGTCTTTTCCAAACGGTTGACTGGAGTAAAAAATATTGTCATCCTTTAACTTCTCCCGTTCCTACAGTAATACTCTTGCTAAAAGTAACGGCTTCCGTTTGACTGTAGGGGATGTATAAATACGCAGCATGCTAAGGCCGTCGGGCCGTCTTCCGGTTGGAATAGGGACGTTAAACATGTTATATCCGATGTTTCGTGTAACGTAAATACAACACTTTACACCACAAGCACTTGGTTCTATCCAAGGGAAGGTCGACTATCCATATATAATAGAATCTTCTACCATATATGGCCGGAAGTCGACCTTCCTATGGCTAGAAACAAGTGACTGTGCTTTGCACGTTGAAGAGCCGCTGCAACCACATGCACATGTTTTTCATCAATGGGAAGGTCGAGTATCCACATATAATCTTATCCATATAAAGTCGACCTTCTAATTGATAGTAACAAGTGCTTTTGATTGCAACATTTTTCTGCAGAGTCCGTCGGTGGCCTGTTGTAAAGCAAAATGTCTGTCCCTATCAAACACACCCTTCTTTCTAGTGGCAGTACAAATTTCCCACCCTTCATCTTCGTCTGCCTAACTTACAGAACCTATCTATTATATTGCTTGTTTATTTGTGTTCGTCCTGAATATGCATGAAATAATTGCCATTAGACGCTAACGTGAGGGTACCCAAATTGCACCTATTTTGACAGTTTTTGCCTAAGTCTATTTAAGGTCCGTATAAAAATTTTCATTCTGTGTTCAATTTGTAGATGTATCCTTGATAAATTATAACTATATAGTTCCACAAATTTCATTTTGAATCCATACTGAATCAAAGAAAAATGTGTTTGAATCGACCTCCAAACAACCCAGGATTCTGTAATGAGGAGTACCTACAACATGTACTTGTAATGTAAATTGCATCCATACTTCAATTCACATCCGTAAAATGGAATAATTGATGTTCATAAGAGGGGGCCCACTCCAGTCATGCTTCACTGGTCCCTAAATAATCAACCAAATTTTTCCCACAAAAGTGGGGGGTGGGGGGGGGGGGGGGGGGGGCAGGCACCCTTGTCACAGTTATTATTATGGTACAACCCTTTAACTATGAAGAGGAGGGGTAGGATTTTGTACCACACAAGCAGCAATTAAAAAAAAATGTAAAGATTTAACATTAAATTTAATGACAAATTGATTTTTCTCGCAATCAAACATTTTGTTAAGTTCTTGTTTAAAATATTTTTGTCTTCAAAGTTTGGATTCAGAGAATAAATAACCTTTTCCCCCTTTTTAAGAGTTAAATAGTCCTTCCCAAACAAGACTTATTTTTGGAGTACAATATTTTTGTAGCCATACATCATGATACATCATGTACATGTATATTTTTTTTGTAAATCAGACTTATACCTATCTAGGTAGCAGTCTGCACCATTAGCCACTAGTCCAATGTCCCAGACTAGTAAAACTTTATTTGGACTAGTAAGTATTTGCAAAACTTTGTTTAGACACATAAGAAAAATATAGGAATATTGGTCTTTGAACTACAAATGTAGTAGTTTGAAAAAATTTTGGTGCAGACTGCTCAAGGTAGACAATGTGCACTTTGTTAAAAAAATCCCTACTATTATATTTACGTCAAATGAAAAAGTTACTGCAACAATAATACGATGGATGACATTTGGGCAGGAAATACACAAAAATCTGATTTTCCGTACTACAAATTCAAAAGATAACAACCCTTATGCACCCATTGGTGATTTTGTACCTTTTTTTTTCAAATATTTGTTAAAATTTTCCTTTGTTCCTTATCACATTTATGTAGATCATTTTTAAATTTTGATTTATGTACTCTCCAAAGGTAACTTATGCAGACCTCATCAGTGACTTGGTTGCTGTATATTAATAAACCACTTGACATTAAGCAAATATCAATCAATTTACTGGCATTGAGTGACAGACATCACAGAGACTTAAGCTGGGTTAGTTGGTATACATATTTTTGGGAAAATTGTAATTTTATTTCTTTTTCATATTTCCTGTCTAAAAATGTACATGGTCTATTTGCATGATTTTTTTAAGTTTTCATGTTGGAAACAATATTTGTATTTATTAATTTACTAGCAATGTGAGATTTATATCCATATTTGTATACTGAAAATCTGACACAGGTAAGCGGATATATATATGAAGAAGAAATTAAATTACAATTATTGTAATATTTATCTGCTAATTGAGTCACTGTGACCTACTTTGATTCGTTTGAAAGCTATGGCGAATACTCAATTTACCTGTATCGTGTTCTACTTTCTGTATGTCATGCTTCACTGATTTCATTTGATCTTGGAGCAAGGAGGCTTCCTGTTTCACGGCATCAAGTTCTCTCATGACTCGGGGGAGATTCTGAATGGCTTGTTGACTGGCTTCCTCTATAACATTGTTGACTTCTTGGATAAACATTTGTAGTTTCATCACTAGAGTAGTGGCATATTGGTCTTTGGAGACATTCGGTTCTTTTGGCGTTCTGAATGCATTGTTCACCCATTCTTTCACATCAAAATTATCTTCAAGGAACTTTGAATAATCCATGTTGACGTGCCCAAGAATAATTTACATGGTTAAATTTGAATGATCACCGAAACGAAACCGGAGCCGGAAATTAATACAGAAGGGAGACATTATTTCCATATCCTTTTAGATTGTTGTTTTTGATGTGTTTTGTCTGAAAATCAGAATTATACAAAATGTTATAGTAATATGTTATTCGTTGTCTGCTTTAAACTTGTACGCATTCTTTTTTAATTATTTTTTTGACGAAATCAATAAATATGATGTACTTTTGATGATGAACTTAAATGAAGGTTCCCTGTCAAAACAATCAAGGTCAAACAGAAAGTAAACATATGTTTACCTGGTATTTTGTGTTGCGCTGACCATGACAGCTGAATCTGCAAATGGTAATGTTGATTTTTTTTTAGGAAAATCAATAAAAACAACACACACGTACAACAAATGATATAAAAGTGTATACATAAACAAATGTGCAACAGATTTTTACCTGTCTCTGAGCTACACCTGTACACCAATTTGGGTATCATAATGAAGTGTTTATCCAAAAATAAATAAATTAAGAGATCGTTTTGCATTGACATGATGACACCTCGAGCTTTGATGACCACTTAGTGATGACATGTAATTGATTCTGACACTTTGTGCTGCATTTTGCCAGAGAAACCCCAAAACGACCCTCCTTTTCCTACTTAAATTTTTATTAGTTTTTTATCTATTAAATCTTATTTTTGTTCTATAGTCTCCTCTTGTCCATTTCGACTAACAAATCTTAAAGTTGGAACTGATGCAGACCAGTTGTGAATGTCGATTATAATACATCTGAGACTACTATAACACAGAGATTGGTCACTATAGATTTATCGGATTATCTGAGTCTCCGGTAGTTAGCTACGTTATTTTAACGTAGTTTCGTATTCGACCGTAGCAGACGACATATATCACCTATCACTGAGAATACTATAACAGTATCGGATATTATTATTTTTCTTTTAAAAATAATTTAAAAACAAAATTGAATTAATCAAAAAAAAAAAAGAATATAGTTTTTATCTTTCAAATGCAGTTATCTCTATTCATATTTAAATTTTTGTTTTTAATCATTAATAATTTGTTAATAGTTTGTTATTATGCGGCCACTCTTGAAAATGTGAATGTGATTAATCTTATCAATCTTACAGTTACATTGTTTTGCTACACGTCCGTTAATTGTATCTAATATACAAATATTTTACCTGTAAAGACAGGTAGTCTCAAAAGCATGGGAGATGAATTTTGTTTCACAGCTGGGTGCCCAAGGTACACGAGGCTCCGTTTATTGCAGTAAACTTTTATTCTATACTTGAAAGGTATTTCACTGCTGAGTGCCCAATATACATGTTTATTGTAGTAAACCTTGTCAAATATCGTCGGTGCACTTGTGGTAGGATTCAGGAGGGTGTGGATGGGATTTTATAGAATGGAGAAATAGGGGCAAAAAAAGTATAGAATGGAGAAAAATGGACCGACAAATAAAGAATAGAGAAGAGAAAATAATAAGTTATTAAAAGATTTAAAGAATAGAGAAAAATGGCATAGAAATTATAGGAAATAAAGAACCCCCATCCAGACCCTCATTCAGATTATCCAACGTAAATTTTTTTTTTCAAACAAGTTTCAACCCCCCCCCCCCCCCCCCCCACTTTTTTTAAATTTCCGTCTGATAATTAGGTCAAGTTTTTGCAAACAATGTAATAAGCGGCGATCACAGAAGAGAGAAAAAATTTCATTAAAGGTAAATGAGTAATTTCCTTACGTAACAGATCAGCAAAGAGGTTATAACTGCAATGGATACATAAAGCAAACATAAGCCCTACAAATTATATATATGTTCCCAAAATATCGCCGGCATTTTCATTTTTCAATTCACAATGTCCAGTAACATTGATTTTTTATCTTGGGATGATAGTGAACTCAATCTTGATCTTTTACGTGGTGAATATACTGCATCAGATATTGAATCTGAGGATGACTATACGTCCATGCTGCAAAGACTGCAAACACTCCAAAAGAAGCATCAATCGCAAGTACATGTAAATCAGAACGAAGAAGCTTCAAAATTACGTGACTGAATAATCAAATTATCTCTATGTTAACATAAATAGAACCACATTAGTGTAAATTACGATGACATTTTTTCAACACCAGAAATATGTGCCCTCTTTCAAAATCCCAGACAAGAAATTTTGTGCTTCAATACAGAGCCGTAAAGTTTTTGAAAATTTGAATATTGTCTATTGTTAAAGTGTCGTATGTTTTAGTTATATCGCTACTCTTTTTGTAACCCTAATAATTGAGCAACTCAGATGAAAAGAGTTGTGATTTGCTTTAGTTTTTTTAGCCACAGCAAATATAAATGTGCTTGTTCAATGTTTGGTGACAAACCATGTTAATTGTTGTCGGCATGATGCTTTGTAAATAGGTTCCCTATAACATTTTTTTGTTGGGTAACTGCTGACAGTTTACCATGTGAAAATTCTGAGAAGCCAAAAATAATGCGGAATGTATAAATACGTAGCAATGTCGGATCTAAACAAGAATGTTAAATATGATAGCATATATTGATGTCACCTTTCTGTAAATTCAACTTCGATTCACAACTGCTTGTCAATGGCAAATATTTCATGTACAGTCAGCCTGATTAAACCGAAATGAACTATTTTCAAATTATGTTTAAAGTTTGTTTTTATGTTATGTCGTTACACCAATGTCCCATGCTAGTGGTGGTGATGAGCGCCTAAAAATATTTAACATTGTCACATTCTTTATGTGCCCGTCTCAAGTCAGGAGCCTGTAATTCAGTGGTTGCTGTTGGTTCATGTCCGTCATATTTGAATTTTCGTAAATTGCTTTGTTATTGTAGACACTTCGTTTTCTCTAGTGAATTGTTATATATTTTCCATGTCAGGGACTTTTGAAGCTGACTGCACGGTATATGTTTTCTCATTGTTGAAGGTAATTACGGTGCATTCCAATAACTTACATCCACTTCATTGAACTTCATTTGGACTAAAGGAGTTGTCTGATGATCATTAGCAAAAATATATAAAAATCTCCTTAAAGTTTGCTTCAAGTGGCTATTCCTTTAATATATAAAGATGTGTGGTTACTTGTTTTTTTTCTTTCATTGAACTGTTATCCAAACTGAGCGTGTTAGTGAATTTCTGCATTCCTGTCTTAGTTTTAATGTATATAATAATAAAAATGTATATTCAAAGACTTAAATATTTATTTCTCCATGTAAGACAAGCATGACAAATTCAATGAAATTAAAAAAAAAATACTAAAAAAAGTCATTTTCTCCTGTAGTACTTCTCCCTTCTTCTAATGCGTGATTTCTTTCTGGGGGTATTCCTACAATAAAGAATATATTATAAATAAAAAGAAATAATCTGTCAAGTTTATAGCATAGGCAATTCATTAATTTTTAAGACAGTAATCTGAGACTTGAGACTCAGCAGTAATTGACCAATCATGTCAATATGGATCAAAATAGTTCAATTATTTAAAAAAAAATACGTCTATTTAGGAACTCATGATGTACTGGTATTTCACACGGTGACACATTTTCATTGCATAATAATATTATACTAGCATGTATAGACTGCATATATATTATCAAGGGAACCAAATATAAATCTAAATTTCTTTCACTAACAATACAAATTCACCTATCAGACCTCATGTTGTGTGTGTGCAACTTGTCTCGTGTGTTTCTCAGTTCTGCAGCGGGAACTTACTGATACAGAAAAATTGGAATTTCATATAATTACAAATTTTACATCATTACATCGGTTAATTACTAAGGTTTGCACATACATTATCCGGAAAACAGATTGTTCATCTGAATGTAAGTTATGGGTGAGTTGCTCATTGACCCTGTCCCACGGACTGGTAATAACTCGAGGTTACTTTCCGGTTTGGTCGGTAAATTCAAGTCTATAACTGCACTTATTTTATTTAAAGTGCTTATAAACCAACATTTATGAACATGTCAAATCTTATATTCACACTTACCGGAACATAACACTCTTTATAAATCCACATTTGTTAATTATTATTTTCTCTTTCGCTGTCAAAAATGGCGGTCGAATCCTTCTTGTCAATCATTGCGAGTCACGTGCCGAGTCATGTGATCGAAGACTTACAATTAATTACTATTTGACTGATCAGTAGGTCCAAGGACACAGTTATCGTCCTTTGGTTTTCGTTGTCTACAAATATAGTCCCTAGTGTGAACAGTGTATAACTTGCATTTTTTTTTGATACACTTTCCCAATTTATTTCTTGATATTTTATGCATGAAATATTAAGTAAGAGGATGAAATTACATGTAAAAAAAATTTGGGTGCTGAATCTTTATGTTAAGTAGTGATTTGGTCCAGTTAAAAAAGGTCAAAAATTAGAATGTCGGAAGCTGTCAAACTGAACTTTAGCCCCCCTTAACACAGAATTGTCAATATTTTGAGTTAGAGCTGGTAGAAGTTTCTATAATTTTGATATTATTTGTATCAATAGTAGTACACTACACTGTAAAAATCTTTTTGAGATAGAGCAGGTGCGATTTTTTTAATTTGAATTTATTGTCTAAAAGAAATGCACTACGAAATAACTGTGTTCTCGGGCCTAAGAGATGAATTCCGTAAATGTAGATTCTGTACTTTGGCAACTTTTCTGAATGGTTTTCTGGTTTCAATTTGTCAAACTCAATAAAAGTAAAGGATTTACATCTTTGTTTGACAGAAATTCTGTTAAAATGTCCCATTTTGGCATTATACGGCTAAAATAAGCATTTTAAAGCAGTTTCCATTTTATGCCTAAGAGCCATGCTGACTTTCTATCTGACAGCTTTTTATGTTCCTGATATTTGTGTTTCTATGCTTAAATCAAATTTAATTAACCATTTGTGAACTCGGAATCTAGAGAAAAGTAGATTATGACAGAAAAAATGTGCAGAATATTTGTATTTATGTCCCTGGTTAAACGGCCTGTTTGATGTATGTGAAATGTGAAGAGCTTTGTACATAAAATCTGTAGTCCGTCACAAATATTTCACTAAATCTGTAAAAAAAACACTTTACAATGATCAGTACACCCTATTCATTTCATATGCTAACATAATTTTCTTCTTTAGGATAGTAAGTGGTTCAAATATATGCCAAATGAGACTAAAACTACATGCAAGTTTTCCATTGAAAAGTGAAAAACTGGTCATCAGACCATACTGTCTGCAAAAAAAAGTTGAATTCAAGAGTCCTTTTGCAATTAGACTTCTTGTATCATGACATCTTAGCATAGAAATGAGCAAAAAGTAACAAATTTCACTTCCTTATAGCCTCTGTGTGCATTT